ATCAGGCATCAAACTTCACAGCCATGATGAAAAGATTAAGCCCCTCCCCTCCCTGCTTTTCTTTGAGAAGGAATCATACAATAAAGTAGATCAGGGATCAGAAAAAACCTTGCACATTTTTTCGAGTAAGTGGGGGTGGAGTGGGGGTCTGATATACGTATACAAATGAAATATACCTGACCAGGAGCTGGGTGGTGTTTTGAAATGGGCGAAGGGATGAAATCTCATCTTTCCTCAGCAAGACAGTGCTTGCCCGGCATACCTGAGGGTGCTCAGGTTGAGAGGGAGAATCTTGTGATGACTGGGTAGGTGGGGGGTGGAGTTGCAAAGGGCTCAGAGAGCTTTTCTTTTAGAGGAGTCCTTTCAACAAAGAGAACAGAAGAGTGTTTGGTTACAGTGAAGGCAAGGGGCCTGCCTAGTCATAAAGGCTGAGGGAGCAGGAGCATGAGTAGGAAGAGTGAAATGAGCGTGGAGTGCGGCGAAGCCCAGGCCAGGGTTTGCTGACTGCAAAGGACTCTTGAGCTGGGAAAAAAGAAGCTAGTGCCCACACCCCTAAGCCAGGCCAGGCTGGGCAGGTGGGGCTCCGGGGGACAGAGCACTGGTGAGCTGGGAGTTGGAGGCCTCAGTTTCCTCCAGAGTCTCAGAGAGGAGGAGGCCAGGGCCCTGGGAGACAGAGCTGCCAGGAGGGAGAGCTCAGAGGTGCCAGGAGATGCCAGTGACCCTTTTTGGGCAGCAGGAGGAATTCTAACCAGAGGCTCTGACTCAAGCCTATCCCTACCATTTGGCCAGGGACTTCCCTGGAGGTGCACACGGGTTGTGGCCAGCACTAGGGTATGGTGAGGGGCAACTGGGTTCCCTCTAGCCTTGCACTCTGGCAAAGGGCTGCATCTGTGCCTCTTCATTATGGAAACCAAGGTGCTGTACAGGCAGGGTGGGAGATGTGATCCTGAGCTGGGCCACACAGAGGAAGGAGGAGAAGCTAACGCTGGGAGGGGAGAGGTGGGCCGGTGCTTGGCTTGGAGACAGTGTTTGCCTACTCCAGGAGCTCGGAACAAAGTTCCATGAGACCAGCAGTTGAGGAAAACTGCCAGGTCTTGGGTCATGGATACCCTCTGTTACATAAAGAGAGAGCTACTGTATGCGGTACACTAGCAAGGCATCAAGAAATGGACACCTTGACCTCAGGGGCCATCTGTGTGGGATTCCACACAACATTGCTCTTATAAGGAAGGAGTAGACAGTAAGAGTGAGTGGGACTAAATTTCAGTTGATGCCACCAGCTACCTACTTTCTGAATAATCAGAAGAATCTATGTTAATCCAGGAAGTGGTGGGCCAGGGGAGATGGAGAGACACCCCAGAATCATCTAAGAATCCTTTGAGCATCTTCCTTTCTCCATCAAGGCCAAAGGGCTAGAGAAAAATCACCTTCATTATCTATATTTAAACTAAGCAGATATTACTTTGATTGTATCCATTTGAGATTGTCACAGTGTACCATTGGGGCCTGATTTCTACTTTATGTTTTGTAGAATGGAATTCTTACCATCCAGGAATATTCTAAATCAAAAAGGGAGGGCTGGCCAGATAGCTCAGCAGACTGAGTGCCTGCTTAGGCAAGCGCAGGGACCAGGGTATGATCCCTAGCACTACATGACACTCAGGCTCCGTCCCCAGGCATGCTAAGCCAGCCACTGAGTCCAGGCATGGAGGTGTATACCTATCAACCTAGAGCTGGGGAGGCTGAAAACATGAGGATCACTATGAGTCCAAGCTGTGTAGTGAGACCCTGTACCAAATACATTAAAAACAAAAGGGGGAAGACTGTGAGGCAGTGGACTTAGCTTCCTCAGTGAGCCCTGGGATGCCTTTATCCTGCACAGTGCTCTTTGGGTAGCACAAAGCCTGTATGCTACCTGAAGCCTCCACTCCAGGCCTCTCTGGGGATTCTCTACTGTCTGCAGGGAGAAGGGAGTCACCTGTGGTCAATCTGGGCAGCAGGGATGCCCCATACAGCAGCCAGGCTGGTCCAGTTCCCAACCTCACCCCAGAGCCTCTTTGTTTGCTTGTTTATAGTCAAGACTGGTAAAGATTTAGGATAAAGTTTTTGCATGTTTTATGTCCAGAATATGACACAGGCATGTAATTGCAATGATTGCAATGGAACGATTTCCATGTGCTTGTATGTTGTCTCTTCCAGTTCAGTGAGCTTCCTTGGGGGGGGGGGGAGGATTTCTCTCACAGTCTAGCACAGAGCTGCACACTCAGTAGGTCCTCAGTTTCACATTTATGAGTGAATTGGTCTCTTCAGGCCTTAGCCACCCTTGGTCTAATGACTTCATGCAGTGGGGTGTGGAGTGTGATGCATATTTAATGGGTAGTTGGGAGGGGACCCCTGTGTGGCCATGATCACATCTCTGTTCTGGAGAAATTCTCCTTTCTCTACCTTTTGCTTCTCTGCCGCCACCGCCATTATTTCGCCTTTGCTGACCATCCCTAGTGCAGGGTGGCACTCACAGGAGGCCGCAGGAATATTTTAGGAAGAAACTCAAGTGTTCCAGGAACCGCAGCCCTTAGGTTGGCTCTTCCAAACTGTCAGATCCGAGTGTGGATAGGCTCAGATCATACTGTGGCATGTTCCCCGGGGACTAGGGAATCTGTACTTTACTTACTTTCTATCTTCTCCAGCCTCAAGGGCCGGCCTTTCTTGCCTTGTTAATGCTGTGTTGCAAGGTCCTTCATGAAAGGCCCAGCTCTCCTGCCAGATTGGGGGTCACACTCCGCCAGGCAATGGGAAGGGAGATAACTAGGATGAAGCTTACTTCTCCTTTGGAACCTGAGACTCAGGGCTAGCTATGGGGTTTGGAGGAAAGCAGCGCCTCCTAAGGGTGAGCCTCTTTCTCCCCTCTATTAGTCCATTTTAGTGGGCTTTCTGTCTGAACCCTAGCATAATGTCTAATGTTAAGCAACCACGTGACGTAAGCCACAGTTTTGTGGCAGCTTCTCCTTTCCTCCACACAATACTTGTTTCAGAAGCCTAAGAGGATCATAAGAATGAGAGACTGAACCTACGTGTCAGGAAGTCTCTGCATCTTTGCTTCTAGCTTTCAACTCTATCACATAGGTTAGGAATGTGGGCTTTGAGACTGAGTGCACTTGAACTCCAGCTTTAGCTGTGATTTACTAGATAAGCGACCTTAAATAAGTGCCCTAGCATCACTAAATCTCATTTTCTTCAACTGTCAATAAAGCTAGTAATGCAAAGTTTAAATGAGATAACCGTATCACACTTGGTAGCATTTCTTGCATGTGGGAAGTGATGTCAACTTTTTATGTGACACTCACTTTTTGGTCACCATAGCTATTACCTCTGTAGGTAATTCTGCAATGCCTGGTACTCTAAGCCAGCCCCTGTGATGAGTGCTGCTGGGGACATAAGCCAAGTCTTCTGTGGGTACCTAGGCACCCCTGCATTAGTCACTTTGGGAGCATATGTCTATCATCCCCAGGTCAAGGAACTTTTTTGCCCAATGAACTTAATACATCATTTGTAGACCATTCTCACATTAGAAAGCAGGTGAAGCAAGTACTGGTCCTGGGGGAGAGGGAAGGCCCCAACTGTCTACTTGCTATTGCCCTTTGCAATCTGGTTTAGAAAACCAGAAGTCATTACTTCTGCACCCTCCTATTCCCTGGGGCCAGGCCTTGCCAAGAAGGCTGAGAGAAGGGACCCCTGGAGAAGGAGGTGCCCACAAGCACCTAGAGGGCCGAGAGGAAAACACCTGTGGAGGGGACTCTCCAGGGCAGACTCCAGCTCTGCCCCACTTCTCCAGCTGTTCTTCCTCCTCTCCCCCGACTCCCGGCAGTGAGAGCAGCTATTTGCTTCCTTCTGCCTGATCCAAACAAATCAGGATCCTCAGTGTGGTTATAGGTAGTGGTCAATGTCCTTTACTAAGGGTGGCTACCAGATACCTAGTTTCGAAATAATTTTTTTATCATTCGACTCTACCAGTAATAGCTGAGCTGTGGCATGCTGATGTCCTGATCCCAGAAGTGATGAGGAATTTGTCAGAACAAATGTGATCCCAGTAGCGAAACTTAGGGCTTCCCTGTGTCTGAGTAACGTCAGCCAAGGGTGTTCTACATAAAGAGAAATAAACTGAAGCCCAGTTCCCAAGATGGGACAGATGCTTTTATCCTGGAGAGAAAACCCACACAGAGAAAAGGCCAGCTGACTGAAAGAATTGTCACTGCTAAAACGACAGCTTCGAGGTCATCACAGCTCGGCCCTCTTGGGATGTATCCGCTAACCGCGGACAGCATGTCTGCAGGGGAACATTCAGATGCTGTGTGCTCATTTCCTCCCCCTTCTCGGTGTCCATTCCCCTGCTGGACAGCCGTGCTCTTTAGCATGACCCAGAAAGTGGCCTCCTGGACCTTGTTTCTGGATCCAGATGTTTAAGAACATCTTTTAAGAAGAACTGTTTCCTTTGTAAGTACTCCTTAGCACCAGCACCCCAGTTCCCTATTAAGGCTGGATCTCGAGGAGACGGTTCTTTGGGGAAGAAGCCTGGGGGGCTCAGATGAGCCCTCCTTGGACAAATGCAGGCATTTCACCTGCCCCTTGCTGATAAGGAAAGAGGAGGCAGTGCTGGAAAAATAAGGCAAGGAGATCTCTGCAGTGGATAACATGGCAAGTCCCTAATTAGAAAGCACAGATAAACTCCAAATTAGACAAATGTAGTGTGCAAGGGCAGCATATTCTACCTGCTATCAAGAGGCCTTCCTTGCTGCAAAGGACTTAGAGATCTCTGTAGTGCAGATTGCCCCTTGCCTGTAGCCCTTTAGCAAGGCAGGAGATAATACAGAGAGACACCCTCTTCCGGTGTCCCAGGCTCAGCAGAGATAAAAGGAGGAGGCAGCACTCTGACTCCTCAGGACTTGCGCTCTCCAGACCTGAGTGACTGCATTTCTCTAGCTCTGCCTGTTCTATCTACCACCATGAGTTGGCAACTGAACAGCAACCCCAGCGGTTACAAGGGCAACTTCAGTGTGCATTCTGCAGTGGTGCCAAGGAAGGCGAAGTGTGGTGTGGCCTCTTACCATGCTCCTGGCCAACGGGGTGGGGCTGGTTTCAGCAGCCGGAGCCTCTACAGTCTTGGAGGGAATCAGCATGTTTCCTTCCATGTGGCCAACAGTGGTATTTGGGCTGGAGGATACAGCTCTGAGCATGGCACTGGGTATGGAGGCAGCCAGCCCAGAGGCTTTGCTGGTAGCATGTTTGGCAGCTTGGCCCTGGCACCAGGGTGTCTGTCTGTGTGCCCACCTAGGGGCATCCACCGAGTCACTGTTAACAAGAACCTCCTGGCTCCCCTCAATATGGAGCTGGACCCTGAGATCCAGAAAGTGCGGGCCCAAGAGCGGGAGCAGATCAAGTTGCTGAATGACAAGTTTGCATCCTTCATTGACAAGGTGGGTTTTTAGGAGCAGGAAAAGGCAAGCCAATTGGATAGGAGCAGCCCCCATGCTCCCTCAGCATGGGCTGGACAGTGTGTATATCGGGTGTTGCTGGGGTTCTGGAAGGGCTTTCTCATCATAAAGAGGGAGGTGGGATTTGCATGATAGGTAGAACACAGGAACAAATAAATGATTGTAGTTTCTAGGTATTTTTACATAGCAGGGTAGGAACCTGGGTAGATGATAGTGCTTCCTTAAGAAAGTAACAGGCTTCTGGAGGACATCTGGTTAGATCCCTGGCTTTCTACAGAACATGAAGAGCTGAGAGAAGGAAGTAGTGAAGGGTAGGCTCATAGCATAGAAAGAAACATAGCTGAGACATAAAAGAACATCTCCTCTGACCAGGATCAGGCAATAGAAGACAGTTGTGAGGTCTGCCCCTTGGTGAGGTTTTAGAAGGTTGAAGTATGAGCACTTGGATTAATCAGGATTTCATTGGTAGCAGATGCCAAGTGCAGAGCACCAGAAGTTGACCCAAGTAACTCAGGAAGCCCACTTACTCAGAGGAGTCAGCGGTGCATTCCCCAGGGCATGATGGCATCAATGTGGTTCCAGATGGATGTTGGTTTGGGTTCCAGGTGCGCTTCCTGGAGCAGCAGAACCAGGTGCTGCAGACCAAGTGGGAGCTGCTGCAGCAGCTGGACCTGAACAACTGCAGGCAGAACCTGGAGCCCATTTACGAGGGCCACATCAGCAGCCTGCGGAAGCAGCTACAGATGCTGTCTGGGGACAGGGTGAGGCTGGACTCAGAGCTCAGGAGCATGAGGGACATGGTGGAGGACTACAAAAAGAGGTGAGCATGTGCCGCCAGGGGGTCACTAGTCCTGCATATGATCTCTTGGCTATATTTTAGGAGAGTGAGGAGCAAGTTCCAGAGTCACGAGCTCAGGCACCCTTCTAGAGTTGTGGCCGAGAGGCCCATTCTACTCGATGAGAGGTCATTGGCTAGGGCATAATGGGTAGGCTGCAGTGAGGCAAACCAGGGTCTTCTGATTCCCACTACTGGGTCTCAGATCTCACCCCAAGGGGATGATACTGGGCACCCTGCAGCCTGTGTGTCTGCCCAACTAGTAGGAAAAGCTTACTTGACCCACGAGTCTGAAGTCTCTTTCCACATTCTCTTCCTACTCACAGATACGAGGTGGAGATTAATCAGCGCACAGAGGCTGAGAATGAATTTGTGGTGCTCAAGAAGGTAGGGAGAGAAGAATCTCTTCACATCCCCATCCTGAATAACTCTGCACAGGGCTTCAGCCCAGGCCACCAGGTGGGGCCTAGGGCCTGGGGGTGGGTGGCACCAGGTCCTGGCCTCTAGTGAGTTAGAGAAGAAAGACACATACCTAGGAAATATACGGAGACGAACAGGTGAGAATTCTGGTCTGGGACTTGGAGCCCCCTAAATAACCCTCCTCTTCCTATGTGACATAAGGAGTCTCAGTACCTTTTTGGGATTATGTTCTCCAGGTATAATAGAAGACAGTCCTTCTTCTCCTTTTACTATTCCCAAAGAGCCTGTGAGTTTGAGAGTAAATTGATGTTAAATGACCGTTCATCAATATCCTTCCACCTGTGGTCAAAGCCCGCAAGACAGATGGCTTTGGGGCCAGGGCTAGGGGCAGTGCAGCTCATGGGAGCAGGGTCAGTTGACTAACGGTGCTTGGTGTCACTTGACAGGATACAGATGCAGCCTACATAGCCAGGGTGGAGCTTCAGGCCAAGGTGGACTCTCTGGACAAAGACATGAAGTTCCTCAAGTGTCTGCATGATGCGGTGAGGCTGCTTCTAGCCCCCATTCTTTTGCCTTTTTCCATCCAAGGGCTTCACCTGAATTGCATTGAGGGATGCCAACAGGAGGGATTTATGGTTGACACAGAAGACCTGTGAATGGAAAAGTGACAATTCTGGCCCTCGATGACTGGAAACATAGGCCCTTGTCCTGGGAGGCCACGTACATAGGGCATAATTAATCTGGGCCATGGTAGAAGGCTTGCTCATAGGCAGGACAAAGTGGTCCTATGAGGTCCTGCTGAGGCACAGCTTCTTGGGTCCTGTGGAGCTGTGGGAAATGCCTTCCTCCTGCTGAGCACCTCCCACAGCCTTTCTGAGCTCCATCTCCAGCCCTCCTTTTCACATTCACTGGAATCACCTGTGCTACCTTTCCATCTCAGGTATTTTCCCAAATACCTGCGAAAATGAATTTAGGAGGAAAAACATTACTTGGCCTCACACTTTCTAAGGGTTCAGTCCATGGTTGATTAGCTCTGTTGCTTTGGACCTGAGTGGCACAGGACGCCGTGATGGAAGTATATGGTACAGGAGACCTGTGCATCCTGGTGACACCTTCTTCTAGGGATCACTGGCCTAGAGGACTGATGGGGCCAATCAGGGGAACTTGGGTCTGTCTTCATCTCCCCACTCAGGAGATTGACCAACTCCAGACTCATACAAGTGAGACTTCTGTCATCCTGTCCATGGACAATAACCGGGACCTGGACCTGGACAGTATCATCACTGAGGTCCGCACCCACTATGAGGACATCACCCAGAAGAGCAAGACTGAGGCTGAGGCACTGTACCAGACCAAGGTGGGCATGGGATGAGTCTTCTTTCTTCCTGGGTAGTGTCACCTCCACCAGTGAATGCGACAAATGCTGCTGTAGATGTGCTGAATGAAAAATACTTCTCAGCATAAAGTCTTATGAAAGATAAATCAGAAAACTGGTACAGATGGACATATCCAGAAAAGAGGAAGAGACAGGGGTAAGAACGGAAGTGCAAAACAAGACACTACTGGGAATAGGGGCAAGCTGTCTGTGGGTAGGACCATCACATACAGAGGGCAGGGTCACTATGCATAAACTCAGGTTTGGTGGGGATCAATAGGGGACCCCCGGATCTCTTTTCCGGTAAGTACAGGAGGACTTCCAAGAGAGTAGAATTCTAGAGTGTTCTTAGCAATGGAGTTAGGCTTTGGGGGAAGGCCCTCTGGGGGACCATAAGGAAACCCTTTATCCGGGCATTCTCTAGGACCCTCGAGCCCTCCTTTTCACATTCATTGGAATCAGCTGTTCTACCTTTCCATCTCAGGTATTTTCCCAAACACCTGCGAAAATGAATTTAGGAGGAAAAACATTTTTTGGGCTCACACTTTCTAAGGGTTCAGTCCATGGTTGATTAGCTCTGTTGCTTTGGACCTGAGTGGCACAGGACACCGTGATGGAAGTATATGGTACAGAAGGCCTCTCACCTGCTAATGACCAGGAGCAGAGAGGAAGAGGAGGGGCAGGGCTCCAGCATTCCCCTCAAGGCCACACCCAGAATGATCTAACTTCCTTCTTTTAGGCTTGACCTGAAAATTCCACAACTTCTCAATAGGGCCAAGCTGAAGACTAAGCATGAGCACATAAACCTTTAGGGGGTCCAGTACAGATCCAAACCATAACACTGCCAACAGCCAGGACAGTGGGTACTTCACCCTCACTCCCCTCCTATCACTTGTTCCCTGCCCATTGCCACATCATTTCCTCTTTTCCAAATGATTAAACATGTGGAAAGGAGATACCACCAGTGCTACCAATTCTGCCCACAGCCTTCTGCCCTCAACAGCACACAAGCCCCGGGGCTTCCTTCCTCTCTGCTCCTAGTAAGTGCTGCAGGAGAATGCAAGTGAGATGAGCAGGGATCATACCTAGCTTGTCACTACTAGGTCTCCATTCCTGGGGCAGAAATGGGGCTGCAGAAGATGTCACTCTATGTGGCAAATAAGAAGGACAGCATCAGATCTTTGCTCACATTGGGGTGAGCCTGAAAGATATGACCTGCAACTTTTTCTACCCAGCCTAGGAAGGATTGTAGACCAGGGTCTGAGACAAGAGGGAGAGCAGACAGATTCTGCTTAGAGAATATAGTGGACTTCTTGGCCTGAGCCAGAAGGGGACCCAGTACTGACTCTACCACTTCCTGTTGTGGTCCTCCTGGCTCATTTACCCATGGAAGGATCTTCCCAGGACTTCTTACCTTGTCTTATCACCCTTTTCTCCCTTCTATAATACTAGATCCAGGAGCTGCAGCTAGCAGCTGGCCGGCATGGAGATGACCTCAAACATACCAGGAATAAGATGTCAGAGCTGAGTCAGCCCATCCAGAAGATCCGCTGTGACATCATCAGTGTGAAGCGGCAGGTGAGCCATGGCCTCATGGAGTGGGCTGAAACTCAGTTTCCTTTTCTGTGATGGGTACACAGGGCTCCACCTTTTGGGAAGAAGCAAGTCTCCCCTCTGGGTGTTAGAGGTCTCTGGGCTATGCACAGCCCCTCTTCCACTCCCTGCCTTGATGCCCTACCAAGATTAGGAAGTTGCAAGCCCATTCTTTGGACTCCCCAGTAGACAAGTAGGGCACATGGGCTGGAGAGGAGAAGTGATTTGCCTAAGATTACTATATGGTCATCAGCAGGGTCAAAATTTGAATCTCGTGTCCTGTTGCTCAGATTTCTTCTCTGGCTAACAAATGTGGCCTGCATCCCTTGAGATGTACCTCTTGGAGAGTGGGCCTTGTGTCTCCTCCTCCTGCTGCCATGATATGTGTGTGTGTGTGTGTGTGTGTGTGTGTGTGTGTGTATGCACATGGGGCATGTGTCAGGGCCCTCTATAACAATCCTTTCCCCTCAGGTTGTGGCTTATCCTGGGGATGAATTGTCACAATAACAGGTTGATGCTCTCGTGTTCCTCTGTCCTGTGCCATGGACCACCTATACTTATGCATACCTTACCTGAAAGCAGAAAATCCAATATTGCATCAGTGAGGAGTGAGTTTAGAGTCTAAAGGAGCCTTTGTGGGACTTCCCAAAGAACCAGGTCAACCTTGCCAGTGAGAGAACTGCCAAATCAACAGTTCTCCTTCCTGTGCCCCCCAACTTCCAAGTCACATGGAGTGTGCCACAGGGACGGCACTAAGACTCCACGTGGACCGTCCCCTCATCCCCAAGCACTTAGAACCATAGTGCCCCTAGGTGTTCACCAGAGTCTAGTTCTGAGGTTGTAGCTGTAAGTAGCTTCTTTCTAGGGGAAGAATATTCCCTTTCAAGCTAGATGTAGGGGCATTATCAGATCCTCCTGCAGTGTGCTAGAGGAAGCCAGACACATGTCCTCCTGGCACTAACAGGAGGAAAGCTCCAGCCTAGAGAGATATCCTTCAGCAGAAATCCACCCGTAGGACCCTTGGCTTGCTGTGTGAATCTTAAGGGTGGTTCAGCTGGAGTCTCAGGCACAGTTTTCTGGATCTGGTGTAACCTAGCATCATCTGTGGCCCCCAACTGCAGGCACTAGACAGCTTTGCAAACATTGAAGTTTTTTACTGACCTCATGAAATGCAAGTATTCCATCCTTTCTCATGCCAACTTTTTGAAATGTTCACCTGTAATGGATCACAGCAGACCCTCAAGTTGTGGTACTGGTTTTGCAGCTCTTACAGAAACCTTAGATCTCATCAGTAAACTGACAGAGTTCTGATCTAAACATTATTTTACGTTGAGTCTCCTTGTTCTCTGTCCCTTAGTGCTCCAATCTGGAGACAGCTATTGCTGATGCTGAGCAGCGAGGGGACAGTGCCCTCAAGGATGCCTGGACCAAAGTGGATGAGCTGGAGGGTGCCCTGCGCCAGGCCAAGGATGAGCTGTCCCGGCTGCTGCGTGAGTACCAGGAGCTCATGAGCCTGAAGCTGGCCTTGGACGTGGAGATCGCTACCTACCGCAAGCTGCTGGAGAGTGAGGAGTGCAGGTGAGGGGTGGAGGGAGCACTGTGGTGCTAAGGGAGAAGGTGACTGAGGGTTTTCCCATCTAGCTGAGGGGTCACTGGAATCTGGGACAAGAGAAACAACAGCACTGATGACCCAAGGAGGGAGGGAGACAAGGGTGGACAGGTGAACTCAGCTGCAGCTTCCTGCGAGGGATGTCAGATGCAGGCTGTGAGCACAGGTGGCCGCGCATGGTGCCATCAGCAGAACCCTCAGTCACCTGGGGATCATTACTGCATATGCCACATAGTAGCTTCATGGTACTGGGAAATCACATAATGTCTCTACATTTTCATCGGGAATATGGAGGGTTTTTTTTTCTACAGTGATTTAGGAGAAGATCTACAGGGTCTCACTATGGAGATGGACTTGTAGTGATTCTCCTGTTTTCAGTCTCCCAAGTGCTGGGAGCGCACCACCACACGCAGTCTCAGTCACCATCTCAGCAGGCGCCCAGGACAGGGCTGGCATGGCACCCTGGGGATTGAACTTTGGCCGCTGCGCTCTGCCTAAGCAGGTGCTTTAGTCTGCTGAGCTATCAGGCTGGCCCTGAAAATGGAGGCTTTTATCTCAACTTTGTGTTATGAGGCTGGATTAAAATAATGTATGCAAAAGTCAGAACCTTTGAAAGTTAGCTGAACCTAGACACATCTCCAGGTTTTATCCTGTCATTTTCTGTCTTGCAGGATGTCCGGTGAGAATCCATCCTCTGTGAGAATCTGTGAGTATCTTCAAGGAGAGGGGTTGGATTGGGAAAGTGAAGGACCCTGGGACACAGCAGTGCCACCTCCACACATTGTCTCACTTTACCAGGAGTTTCTACTGATGCTTTGCGAAGGTTGTCTGGCTTCAGAGGAAACTCTTTCCCTTTTGTTCCCTGGCAAGAGTGACTGAACTGATACCCCTCTCCCTGTTGTCTCTCCCCTGGGGTACTCATGTAGAGAAATGGTTGGAAAGAAGGACTTTTCTAGGTTGTCTAAGAAGGCGGGACCTACATGGTCTTCTTTTCCCTAAAAGTCTGGTACACAACAAGGTCTCTGTTATCTCTGTTGTATTTCCTGGTTGCTGAGGGTTGTAATGGGATTAATTAGGGTATCCTTAGAGACAGCAATTACCACAAGTTTTGTCACCTTTTGTTGATACCTGCCTCTCCTTCCCCTGTCTTACCCTTGCTTCTTAGCTGTCATTAGCAGCAGTGGCTATGGCCACCACCCCAGCTCCAGGAGAACCGACCTTGAGGTCAGCAGTGCAGCCATCAAACATGGAAGCCCCAGAAGTGGCCAGACCAAGACTCAAGGGGCACAAGCAAAAGACCCCAAGGACTCTCAAGACCGGAGTGTCCCAGCCGGTGCCCTAGCCAGGAAGACTGATAAGGCCATCTGCCCACTCATCTCAGCACCTGGAAGAAGGGACACCTTAGGCACGTCCCAAAGATGCCTGCTCTCCCAAGTCCTCCATTCCTGATTTCGGGACTGGCCACAATATGCCCAACTCTCTGCATCATGGGGTATCTTACATTCAAGTTCTGATTGACACAGTCACCCTCTTGTGCCAATAAGTCCTGTGTAAACTTCATGACTTCTCTTTTTCCTTGCTGCCTTCAGCTAGCAGGAGGCTTTGGAAACACAAGTCATCATCACCTTCTTAGCCTTGAAAACCTGTGATCATGACTAGAGAGAGAAGGAGAGAAGAGAGGAGGTTTGTTCTATGTGGAGGTCAAGTTCTCAATTATTTGAGGTTTTACTGCCCTTCAAAGCATGATGGGGTGAATCAGCACCATATAACCAAAAGGAAAGATGTTACACAGCCTTTCTCTGTCCCACCAGACAGCTCTTTGCAGGTGACTCCATAATGGAGTGCTGGGTTCATTCTCAGATCATGAGATGCACACATATTCTCAAAGGAAAATTGGGGATTTTCTGTCATCTTGTACCAGCCACCCATTCCCCTTTTGTCATCAATAACTACTTTTATAATCAAGCACCTACTGTGCACCAAGAAGCTTATATGCATCCCCCTAATTCCCATCCAATCCTTCAAGGAAGGTAAGATCAGCACCCTTTGGGCAGACAGGGAGTCTGAGTCTCTGAGAGCTGCAGAACTTGTCTCAGTTACCCACCTTTGTGCCAACTCAGGCCAGCTGACTCTGGGGACCGTGCTCTTTCCATTATGTGTCAGTGCCTTTTTTTGTAGAGACAATAGCAAATCCATGATTCTTGGTGGCGGGCCTCAGGGAACTTGGTCAGGACTGTGGGATGTGGCTGGTCTTTGGTCTTCTCTCTGTCTGTGTCTTACAGTGGCTTCTGACTCTTAGTTCCTAGAGCCACAAATCCAGTGAACAGGCTTGATCTTCTCTCCATGTGGTGCCACCCAGCCAGAAGTCGTGGCTCCTGGTGTAAATATTTCTGGGAATAGCCCCATCTAGTCCCTCCCTTGCTAAATTAAGGGCACTGAATTTCTGTTTTATATTCAATAAATTACCCTGGAGTGGTGTCAGATATGCGCTCTGTCAGTTTCTGCAAATGTTCCACCATCTTAAAGATGACCTCTCCCTACCCTAATCCTGCGATGTGCACAGCCTTAGGGACCCTCGCCAAAGAGGCTGCACAGGAGGTGGCCTCAGGCTGCAGAAAGGGGTTCACACCTGCACTTGTGCAAACCTGGGACAGGCGGGCTAGAGCAGCAGTGCTGAGAAGTGGCCATGGCGGCGAAGCCGAGTCAGGGAAGCTTCCTGGAAAAAGAAAGAAAATAAAATAGTCAGAAAGATGGGCACCTGAGTTCCTGGAGAGAGAGTTTAAATCGTGCTGCCACAGGGGGAATGGGCTCAAGCATTGTGTACTTATTTATGAGGGACAGGAACTCTCTAATTTTTTGAAGCCAGTAGTAGGGCTTGCTGGATTTTCAAAGCTGTTGGCTTTTTCTGGCAGTAGTTAGCTTTCTAATCATTTTTTGTGCTTCAAATTTGCTCAAGATGCTTGCCCCTGCAGGTCTTAGGACAATAGGATTGGGCCTTGGGAGGGCATGGCCTTCACTTCAATCACTGTGCCTTTCATATTATTTTTTCATACTACAAATGATAAGTAAATAAGTATCAACAGTCAGCACAAGTTCAAAACCAGCCACCAACCCCTAGGATTGAGGAATGGCTGGGTGACTTCCTCTACTATGGTGCTTATCAGGAGGGGCATGGTGGCACGTGTGCAACACGTGTGGCAGTGGCCCGTGACTTCATGATCAGTGCAGCAGGCAATAGGAACAACGTGTGCTCGGGACGGCTTTAACCAAGAGGTGGGGCAAAGGGCTATTTTCTTGGGCCCTGGTGACCCGGTAGTTCTTGGGGCCTCAGTCATATCAGGAAGGGCTTTTGTCTATCACAAAAGAATCACTGATGCCAGGAGGTGGGTCTGGCATGCTGACCTGTAGGCTGCCAGGCTCTACACCAGTGGAGGGAAAGCACCATCGTGGGCAGGTGTCCTCCTCCACAGCCACACTGCCTCTCCCATACCACCGCCTTCCTGAAGGACACTGGAGTCTAAGGCCAGTCACAGGCCTGCAGTTTCAGGAACGATGGCTGGTTGGGAACTCAGGCCTGGAGCAAGGGAGAATGTGGGAGGGGTGTCCTCGAACAGGACTAGGAGTAGTGCTCACTCAAGAGTCATCATGGGGTCACGGAGATGGCTTAGTGGAATAAGCGTTTCCCTGGCAAGTGCAAGGGACTGAGTTTAATTCCTGGTTCTGCCAAAAAAAAAAAAAAAAAAAAAAAAAAAAAAGAAGAAGAAGAAGAGCCGTCAGAGCCTGCTTGCAGTCCAGGGACTGTGAGCTGGCACAAAAAGTCAAATCTCTTTCTCGAACCAGAGAGGGGGCAGCCATGTGCCTTTCATATATTAAGACATCTTCTGTGTGTGCCCTGATGCAGTAAACATTGGGAAACATGTAGCCAAGGCATCTGGTGGGCTTTCTGTCCACACGATTTCTGATACTTCTGCTATCACTGCTGGGAGCTGGACTAGTGTCCTAGGAATTATGGATCATCACTCTATCTCGCCACCAAGCAGTCACCTGGTATCCTTGGGGGGGTTCTTAGATCTGTGGATAAGGGGCCCTTTTAGGGATCTTATGAAAGCTATGGGCCTTAGTAGGCCCAGGTACCAGGCCCTTGCAGCAGAAATGGTTCACCTTTGCAAAATATCAAATTTCCTGTGAGTGAGCCAGTAAGAGGGGTTTCAGCAAGGGGGTGAAGCCTTGAAACTGTGTTTAGAGGAATACTTGAGCCATCAGTGGTTACCTCTTTTGAGACTGCAGTGCAGGCATGACTTTGACTGGTAAACACAGCTGCCTTGTTGAGCTGTAGGGGACTCAGGTCAACAATTTCTGACACTGTCAGTGAAGCGGAAGACCCAGTACTATTATGGACTACTGAACTCTTTTAGAATATTTTGCTGAGTTAACACACCTATAATATTTAAATGATGGAACTAAATAAAAAAAGGGGA